AAGAACAGATCTGGAAACACCACATCTTGACAGTTTTACAGGCAGATTCTACCAAACCAAAGAACAGGGGGAAGGGGACCATCCTTAGCTCATTTTATGACCCATGAGTGACCCTGCTACCAAGATCACATAAGAACAGGGTCATGAGAATGACTCCTGATCTTTCTCACTTACGAGCACACATGCAAATCTCACATAAAAAAAAAAAAAGGTGAACAAACCAAATCTAGTGATAATATTAAAAAAGAAAAGGCCCAACATCAAGAAGTGTTTATACCATACGAACCATTTGTGAGTTAACATTGGAATATATATTATTGTGATTCAACCCATTTCAGATCAGAGAAAATGTCAAGTGATAAAGAAAAAGCATTTGCTAACATTCAGTACCCAATTGTTAAGAAGAAAAGAAAAGGTAACTAGGAATTCAAGATAGCTTAACCGGATGAAATATTTCTACCAAAAAACCTACGGTCAACACGGCATCTAATAGAAGTGGAGACTCAGAGATGAGCCCAGTCAGCCCCCCTCCAACCCTTGTCAACACTGCTTCAGAGTCCTGTGACACGAGAGCTGGGGTGGTAGGAAATGGATGATCACAGTATTTTTCACAATATTTAAAAACCGTAGGAGATGGGGGGTGCCTGGATGTCTCAGTTGGTTAAGCATCTGACTCTTGATTTCGGCTCAAGTCATGATCTCGGTCGGGAGATGGAGCCCCACGTCCGACTCCGCACTGGGCATGGAGCCTGCTTGGGATTCTCTCTCTCTCCCTTCCTCTGCCCCTCCCTCCCTTCTCAATCTCTCCTCTCTTTAAAAAAAAAAAAAAAAATCAGTAACAACAAAAACATCTTAGGAGATGGTAGTCTGATGTGGCCGTATCTGCTAGGGTCTCTGATTTATTGTCACTCTGTTTTAGTTTTGTACCTTCCTAGCTGGTCACCTGTGCCCAGAAAGTGCGTCCAGAGACTTGCTTCCTTGGACACGTGCCCAGCATACCCCTGCCCCATGTGTCTCCGTGCACCTGCACATGGCCCGTGGCAGAGCAGCTGCTTAGCAATGAGAGCCGGCCCCGGGGGGTGGGCGTGCTGTCGAGGGTCTCTTCACAAGACCTACCCAAATCCCAAATGCCAAATTGGCCTGAAGTGGCCAATTTGGACTGGGTAGGTTGGGCCACACGAGTTAGCAGATGTATGCCATGTCTAAAGAACTGCTACTCACGTTTGCTCCCTGAATCCTTACCTGCTAGGAACAAAAGAAAAGCCGTTTTCTTAGGACCCTCAAGGTGGGTCAGTGAGTTTCAGCCAGCCGAGCCTGGGAGTGGTCCCCGAGCCTCTGGGTGGCCTCCTGCTTCCTTCCCTCCCGGGGCCTCGACCTTTCTGCTCTACACTCTTAAGTGTACTAGCAATAGTAAGTAAAAGCACCTAGTTCATAGACGTCTCCCGAAGCGACAGAACGTAGGTTCTTTGTGGTCAGCCCATACAAGATGTGGGTGGTCACACATCTGGCTCAGTTCTTTGCCCACCTGGGCCTGGCCCTGTGGGAAACCCCGGGGGGACATTCCTGCTGGGGGTCCTTTCAATGACAGCAGGGATTCCAGAAGCAAAGCCCCCAGAGTGCTGGTCTCCAGAGCACACTTGGGAGGCATCACTGGCTCACCCTGTGAGTCTGGGGTCTCTCCATGAGGTTTCTACCCCATACAGGCCAGCTGCAGAGCAGCGAGACTGCTGGCTTTCACTTAGCTTTCCTTGCTGTTGCTGGTGATATGGCCTTAGCCGTAGGCGTTCCAGTGTATTACTTCTCAAGGCTAGGGCTTTTCATTTTCCTGTGAAAGATTTCTTTTAAAGAAATTCTAACTCAGGAATTAGTGGTGGGAATAGGATTTCTTTTTAGAGCAGCCCGTTCTGCAAAACTTGGAAGGCACATTGTGCCGCCATCAAACATAACATTTGTGTGTGGCAGAGGAAAAATATTCTCCCCAGCTCGCTTTTCTCGAGTCTGTGCTCCCAACAGAGGATATATTTTTGTATCCCACATTGGCCTAACTTGAGTAAGATTCAAGACAACTTTTTTCAACCCTGGCTTTTCTGCCTCCACCACAAGGCTGCCCTGATCCCACAGTGCTCAGCGGGAGACAGTCCCTGCTTTGTAGGAGCCTGGTGGCGTGTCAGCGTGGTGACCCTGCTACAGCTCCCTGGGACATGGCCCCTTGAGGCTACAGTTGTTGAGAAGCCACTTGGGTCTTATGGAGTGACCCAGGCCCCTGGCATCGTGCTGCCTTGGACAAAGGGGAGTGTGTCAGAGGACTTTTGTCATCAGAATAGATTAATACAGTGATTATAATGTAGTGTTTGTACCTGAATGTGTCCATGTTGGTGAAGTTTTGAGAGGTCCTTGTGAGGACCCAGAGTTTTAGTTGGTGGATGCCCACCAAGAAATGGAAGCTGACCGTAGAACGTTCCAAGCCTTCTTGTCCCTGCCCTTCCATCCACTGGATTCCCTCCAGGGCTGAGCAGGGTGCAGTTTCCTTTCTGATACCTTGTTTGTGAGTGTGTTCCTGGAAAGGCTAATTTGGGACAGCCTCTCTTGAGGGCGCCTGGCTATGGCTCACATGGTCAGAACCCACGGCCAGAGGTCAGAATCCACTTGCCGAGGATTCGAAGACTCTGTGAGCCCACCTCACACTTCATTCGTGGAGGTTACAGTTGTGATAAGGAGGTTCCCCCGGTCCTGCAGACCCAGGGTGATAGTCTGGGAGGAGAAAATGTTAGAGCTGCAGCTGGTGGGGTTACCGTGGGGGGTGCGTGTGCTGTGGAGTTTTGGTCATGAGCCCCTTAAACCCTGTTCCTGCAAGGGGCTTATTTAGAAAGCCACAGTGAAATTATGTGTGTGTTCTGTGATGAGAATGATTCTTCTTTGAACCCAATGCTGAAACATTTGAAACAATCTCTTCTCAGTCCCTTCTTTAAAATGCCCTACTGTCAGAATTTGGATTTTGTGATTTTTGAGAAATCCCCATTCTCTTGCCCTCCCCCACTCCCAATGGAGGCAGAATCTCAACTGACAAGCCTGGACCTGGCCTACCCCAAGGTCTAGAGATTTGGGGGGCAGGGATCATGCCAGGAAGGGGGCCTGTTGACCTCTCTCCTTCTGCTCCCTCCTCTCTTTCCACCTTCGCTTACCTGCCTTCTTACACTTGCATTTTGTTCACTAATTCCATCATTGCTCCCCTTTAGGGGGCCTGGGATCTATTCAGGGGACTGGGAATGTGATAGTAGCATCAAAGTTAGTTGATAAAAGATGAATGCATCCAAATAAGTAAGCCTCTTGGGGTTCCTCATTGAAGTCGGACCCAGCCTGGGCTGGCAGCCAGGAAGCCATGGACTCTGGTCCACAGGCAATGAGAAGAGGTGGCTCATGCTCTTGGTTTGGAGAGTGTCATCAGGCAAAGGGCTCCCTCCCTGGGGTGAGGATTGGGTCTGGTGACACCGTTTTCCCTCCCTCTTTGCAGCCTGCAGACATGAAATTCCAAACCTAGGGTCTTTTATTTGGTGTACTTTCCAAGACTTCCTGTTTCCTAACGTGCAAATTGCAAGTTCTGCCACTTTTTTTTTTTTTTTTTTTTTTTTGTGAAGGGGGTGGGAGAGGGAGAGGGAATCTTTTTTTATTATTTTTTTTTTTTTAAAGATTTTTATTTATTTGAGAGAGAGAGAAAGAGAGCATGGGGGAGAGGGTCAGAGGGAGAAGCAGACTCCCTGCTGAGCAAGGAGCCTAATGTGGGACTCGATCCCAGGACTCCAGGATCATGACCTGAGCCGAAGGCAGACGCTTAACCAACTGAGCCACCCAGGCGCCCCAGGAAAGGGAATCTTAAGCAGGCTCCATGCACAGCACTGAGCCGCCTGACTTGGGGCTCGATCTCACAACCTTGAGATCATGACCTAATCTGAAATCAAGAGTCTGACCCTCAACCGACTGAGCCACCCAGGTGCCCTGCAAGCTCTGCAGCTCTTTAAGAACGATCCTGAAGGCCATTTTTTCCTCAGCAAATTTTTGATCACTTTTCAGGATTCTGAAGGATTGTCTCTGACCCTGGGTTACTGTGTTTATCACAGCACTGAGGAAGGGAGACAACAGAGTTAGAGATGGTGTGCCAGGGGCCTGCTGGCCAGAATGCATGCAGCTCAAAGCCTGTAGAAGGACTTGGTTTGGTTTACATGGTATTTTAAAAAAATCTGTTGATTTCGCTTTGAAAAACATTTCTAGCCTAATTCAAAAAAGTGAAAGATCTCTCAACATGGCAGTCACATTTCTACAACAATCAGCTATAGCTGGGGGACACTTGTCCCCTAATTTACTGGGGCATTCTTGCCACAGTCCTCACCACTCCCCATTGTCTCACCCCTGGCCGGGCTTGTGTTTATGTGCATCTTTGACCCCTGCAATGGAGAATCTCTTGAACTGTGATTGTAGCTTCTGAGTCTCCAGGGTATTATGTGTCCAGACCTGCACTCTGCCATTCCTCTGTTGCCTCCTGTCCTAGCACTAATGGGGTCTGCTCTTATCTTTCATAAAAATTCACTTCTGGGGGGTGCCTGGGTGGCATAGTCAGTTAAGCATTTGACTTTTGGTTTTGGCTCAGTTTGTGATCTCGGGGTCATGAGATCAAGCCCCCGTGAGGCTTCAGGATCTTGAGATTGAGCCCCGTGTTGGGCTCTGCACTCTGCGTGGAGTCTGCTTAAGTTTTTCTGTCCCCTTCCCCCCATGAGCACGTGCTCTCTCTCTCAAATAAATAAATCTTAAAAAAAAAAAAATGCCTCACTTCTAAAGAGGGGCAGGAAGGGATGTATGACATCAGAGATTGCCGGAATTTGTTTCTTCTTTGACTTTATCAGTCTGAAGAATTAGTGAAAGCTTAACTTTGGGGGTAGGGATGAGGATAGAAACTGTCAAATGCTGCAGTTTCTGCAAAAAGTAATATACATGTATGTATTTGGCAGGTGAAAGGAAAGCAAGCCAGGATGGATATTTACGACACTCAGACCTTGGGGGTTGTGGTCTTCGGTGGATTCATGGTCGTTTCTGCCATCGGCATCTTCCTTGTGTCAACCTTCTCCATGAAGGAGACGTCCTATGAAGAGGCCCTGGCTAACCAGCGCAAGGAGATGGCGAAAACTCACCACCAGAAAGTGGAGAAGAAAAAGAAGGAGAAAACAGTGGAGAAGAAAGGAAAGACCAAAAAAAAGGAAGAGAAACCTAACGGGAAGATACCTTACCATGAGCCAGCCCCCAACATGACCATCCTTCTCAAAGACCCAGTGCGGGCACCTGCAGTGGCCGTGGCTCCAACCGCAGTCCAGCCCCCCGTGGTCATTGCCCCCGTAGCCACGGTACCAGCCATGCCCCAAGAGAAGCTTGCCTCCTCCCCTAAGGACAAAAAGAAAAAGGAGAAAAAAGTGGCAAAGGTGGAACCAGCAGTCAGTTCTGTAGTGAATTCTATTCAAGTTCTTGCTTCCAAGGCTGCCATCTTAGAAACTGCTCCCAAGGAGGTGCCTATGGTGGTTGTGCCCCCAGTGGGTGCCAAGGCCAGTACCCCAGCCACCGGCCCTGCACAGGGCAAAAAGTCAGAGGGAGCCCAGAACCAGAGCAAAAAGGCAGAAGGAACCCCCAACCAGGGCAAAAAGGCAGAGGGGGCTCCCAACCAGGGCAAAAAGGCAGAGGGAGCCCAGAATCAGGGCAAAAAGGTAGAAGTGGCCCCGAACCAGGGCAAAAAGGCAGAGGGGGCCCAGAATCAGGGCAAAAAGGCAGAAGGAACCCCAAACCAGGGCAAAAAGGTAGAGGCGGCCCCCAACCAAGGCAAAAAGACAGACGGGGCCCCCAACCAGGGCAAAAAGGCAGAGGGAGCTCCCAACCAGGGCAAAAAAGTAGAGGGGCCCCAGAATCAGGGCAAAAAGGCAGAAGGGGCACAGAATCAGGGCAAAAAGGCAGAGGGGGCCTCCAACCAGGGCAAAAAAGAGGAGGGGACCCCAAACCAGGGTAGAAAGGCAGAGGGGAGCCCTAATCAGGGCAAAAAGGTGGAAGTGGTTCAGAACCAGAGCAAAAAGGCAGAGGGAACCCCCAACCAGGGCAAAAAGGCAGAAGGGGCCCAGAACCAGGGCAAAAAGGCAGAGGGGGCCCAGAACCAGGGTAAAAAGGCAGAGGGGACCCAGAACCAGGGCAAAAAGGCAGAGGGGGCTCCCAGCCAGGGAAAAAAGGAGGGAACCCCAAACCAGGGCAAAAAGGCAGAGGGGACCCCCAACCAGGGTAAAAAGGCAGAAGGGGCCCCCAACCAGGGAAAAAAGGAGGGAACCCCAAACCAGGGCAAAAAGGCAGAGGGAACCCCCAACCAGGGCAAAAAGGCAGAGGGGACCCCCAACCAGGGCAAAAAGACAGAGGGGGCCCAGAATCAAGGCAAAAAGGCAGAGGGGAGCCAGAATCAGGGCAAAAAGGCAGAGGGGACCCAGAATCAGGGCAAAAAAGCCGAGGGGGCCCAGAATCAGGGCAAAAAGGCAGATTCGGTCGCTAATCAGGGCACAAAGGCAGAGGGTGTTGCAAGCCAGGGTAAAAAAGCAGAGGGGGCCCCCAATCAAGGCAAAAAGGCAGAGGGAACCCCGAACCAGGGCAAAAAGTCAGAAGGGTCCCCCAACCAGGGCAAAAAGGTGGATGCATCTGCCAATCAGGGTAAAAGGGCAGAGTCAGCTCCTATCCAAGGCAAAAATGCAGAAATGGTCCAGAGCCAAGAAGCACCAAAGCAAGAGGCTCCTGCAAAGAAGAAGTCTGGTTCAAAGAAGAAAGGTGAGCCTGGTAAGTCATTCTGATATCTCTGAACTTGGAGGGGAAAGCTATCTTTCAGTGGCTTTTGGATTCCCTTTGGGAGAGCCGTGTGTATCAGTTAGCTGTAGCCACAACAGAGCTGTGTTACAAACATTCCAGAATTCGGTAGCTTACACCAGCAGTCATTTATTCTTGTTTATGCTTCTGTTGAATTGTCTGAAGGTTGACTGATCTGGGTTGTCTCCACTGAGTGGCTCACGCTGCAGTTTAACTGGGTTTGGCTCCTTGCTGCAGGTCGAGCCTCGGTCTGTTACACACGTGTTCCTTCTGGGCTCCAGCCTGAGGCTTCAGGGATTCTGGAGGGCAGAAGCCCTTCTCATGGTGATGGCAGAGCTGTAAAAGGACACATTTAAAACCAACATTCTATTGGCCCGAGCAAGTCATGTGACTGAGCCAGCGTCAAGGGGCAGGAAGCCCACTGTCTCCAGTGGGATGGACTGCCATGTGAGGTTGGAAAAGGTGTGAGTAGGTGTGAGGAGAGGTGAGGAATTAGGAATAGTAATTCCATCCACCACTCAGTCTGGAACACTTCTGTGTCGTGGCAGATCTTTCTTAGAGGCCTGACTGCATTCCGCTGGTCTGTTCTGTTGCTTACCTCACCTGGTACTCATGTCTGTCTGTCTGTTAAATGAATAATGGTAGGGTGTTTTTAAGGAGCAATGGCATCCATCCCCACCCCATCCCCAGTTTTTCCTCTTGCCTACCTCAGTTACTTCATGGGCCATTTTAGGTACTTGTCAGATAATACAGAACATTAATTTTCTGTTATCTTTTTCGTGCATATTACTAGAGAAATTGGGCCAGTGAGTTCAGTTTCATATTTATCATTCATTTGATACTGTAGTCTTATGTTTTCTATTCTTTCTTTCTTTCTTTTTTTTTTTTAGGTCTTTGATTAGGGGCACCTGGCTGGCTCAGTCAGTAGAGCATGCGACTCTTGATCTCAGGGTCATGAGTTTGAGCCCCATGTTGGGCATGGAGCCTACTTTAAAAAAAAAAAAAAAGACTTTGACTAGTCATAAGTTGATTTGGAAAATTAATTGCATTTGTCTTAATGAGGTATCTTGGGGGGTCTGAAATGTGTGGACCTGTACTGGGTAGCACAAGGCCCTGTGTTTTTAGCTGGGTTTCCCTTTCTTACTCCTTTGTGAAGCTACATTCACTTTTCTCGGGTTTCATCCTCCCCCAACTTTTGGGGGGCATTTGCTCAGGCAGCACCCTGTTCCTTGTGAGGGGACCCTGTGCTGTGTGAACAGCTTCAGGCTCCTGCCAGGGGTCAAGGATCCGCCCACCTGGCCACACGGGTCGGGTCAGCCTCTCAAAGCCCTTTGAAAATCCAAATGTTCAGCTTCGGTCTGCCTCCTCAGGCTGGAGGGAGGGCACACTGCCTTGTCTTTAAAGTGATGTTCCACTTGACCCAGGGACAGGGTGCTTGAGACATGAATACAGGGATGGAACTGAGAACCGATCTGTTTTATGTAAAGCATCAGATGTGTTCAGAATAGAGCTTCCTGTGTCCTATGGCCATTGTTACTGTGTTCGGCTTTAGACATCTGAAATAAGGCATGGAATAGCAGTGTGATGATACTTTAGGAAGGAAGGCAAATGGTACTAATTTCCAGGTAATAGCCTTGTTTGGAGGAAGACCTAACTTTCTGACCTGCATGAGCCCACACAGCAGCTTGCTGGCGTAAGAGAAAATTTGAACAGAGAAAAGAAATACCATGGGCCAGGATAAGAAAGATTAAATATTATGGAATGTGGCCAGTGCACCTGAACCTGGCATTTGACTGACATTTGACTGATTTGAATGCTACCTTAGATAGCCCCATGTGACCAGACCTCAACTCTTGCTCTCTGGTGCCCACAGTTCAAACTTCATGGCCCTAGAGCCCTCCATGACCCGAGTCAAGGTCTCCTCTGTTCAGAGAAGGAACTCCTTTCCTGACCTGTTCCACGTCAGTGATCTGCATCCTCTCCCTCAGCATTTCCTCCTAGTCGTTAGGCAGCATGCCCCCACTAGCCAAGGCGGTGCACATCTCCAGGCCCCCGAGTTTCTGGGCCAGCCCAGCTCAAGTTGTGCCTTGAGTTGAGTGCACAGGACCCTGGAGAAACGGGGTGGACGGGCCCTGGACAGACAACAGAAGCTCACCTGCAGCTAGCAGACAAGGAGGTCAAAGGCAAGCGGCCAGGGCTGACTGCAGCCTCTCGAGCCAAGGGAGGAACATGGGATGTGCGGTATAACTGCATGAAAAGAAAGTGGCCTGCTTCCCATTCAGCAACACAGTCATGGCTGCAAGATCATAGCCACAAATGCTAAATATGAGTCAGATTAATTCTGGAACACGAAACTCCACGTACGAGATGTCATTGCAACAGAAGGGTGAGCCCCATTCCATAAGTCACTGGGAAAATCCATGCTGTCCATGGACTTGTTCCTCAGACCCTCCATCTCCACAGCTTCTGGCTAATTGGAAACATGGAAAGAAATCAGATTTGCCGGAGAGGCGGGAATATCGCCATAAGCAACTGAAGGCTCCCAGAGTGGAGAGGGGCCTCGATGGCTCGTCACTGACCTCTGACTTCAGAGTGCATCCTCAGAGCAAGCCCTGAACTGCGTGTCTGTTTGGGATCACCAGACCCCCAAACTAAGGACAAAAGCACACACTTCACTCATTCCACCCTCAGGCCCACAGTCCTTTACAGAGAAGAGCTGCAAAGCTGCTGGAAGCCAGGCATTACGGAGACACTTCACCTTGCCCTTCGTGCCACCCTGGCAGTGCCTCAGGGGTCCTTACTACTCCCCTTCCCCCACCTTGCAAGCTGTGGTCCTGGGACCAACGGCATTAGCATCCCCTGGGAGCTGGTTAGAAGTGCAGAGTCTCAGGCTCCACCCAGAACTACTGAGTCAGACTACATCTTAACAAGTTCCCCAGGTGATTCATCCGCATGGTAAAGCAGGAGAAGCACTGCACTGGGGGGGAATTTCTACTATCTCTGAACACATGGACTATTTCAGGATCTTCATGGTGTTGGCACCGAGAGTGGCCTGCATCTCCCCAGGGCGGTGGGGGGGACTCGAAGATGGCTTTACACCCCAACCACAGGAACACAAGGCTGAGATCACACAGTGTGCACTCAGGAAAATGAAAAATAAAGTACAAGACAGTTTTTTCCCCATGTCTCTAGACTCTCAGGCCCCCCTGAAGAATAAAGAAGTTCACCTTTTAGGTAGCCTATCAGCTGCACATGATACCCTGTGTGGCTGGCTTTTCATTCTGGGTCTGTCTGACGATCCCACACGGTTGCTTTTGCGGCCAAGTGCCCCGTATAGGCCTTTTCATTTTTCTCATTGCAAATTCGGAGTGTCGTCCAGTCTCCCGTCATCCTGGCTGATCCATATTAATTTTGGCTGTCTTTGATATTTTCTAGGGTTTGATTTGTTTTTAAATTAAATCTAATTCATCCAGCCCTTACATTTTTAGAGGGGTCCAGTCTAAGCAGATTCTTCCAAATCTTGAACATGCTGCCCAAGATCAGAAGATTTCTGACCACCCCCCCATTGACATGACACCCCCTCCCCTCACTGCTCCGTAGTCCCCTGTGGCCGGTGGCGGCCTTCCTTGGACAGTGCAGGGAAGAACATCTCCATCTGCATAGTCAGTTCTGTTGGGCAATGCTGTTTTAAACCAGGGCCACCAGGAGGGGGGCAGCCTATGAAAATGAGCATGTCTTTGCAGCTCTGTGTTGGCACCACACAGCTCATCCCGTGCTTTGTTCTGTCTGCCTGCATCCCGCGTGGAGTGGGGGTAAGCTCCCCCTTGTCCTCCATATCCCAGCGCGATGTGACAAGTGAGGTCGTGGAGGCTGCGGCCAGCCCATGACACACGACAGATCAGTAGCAAACCCTGCCCCGGAGCTGGGGGGCACCACAGACAGGGGTGTGTCCTCAGTTGTCACCAGGTGGGCCCAGCAGGGTCCTCGCTGACAGGCACCCAGAGAGAGACCCGGGCAGGTGTGGAGGCGGGCCCAGGACATGCTTCTGCAGGCCCAAGTTGGAACTCTTCCAGAACTTCTGATGTGTTTTTCCTACAAGAACAAATCAGGGCCATGTGGCAGGTTTTACCACTTGTCCGGGGCCGGAGTTGACAGTGAACACCTGCCTGCCTAATCCATGCTTTGAAAATGTATTATTGTATGAATACGTCCTTCCAGCAAACAAAATACGAACAATGTAGAAGCATGGAAAGTGAAAAACCGAGTCTTTCCACTCCATGCCTCTCTCCACCCGTTCCCTGGGGGAGCCTGGGAGATGTTCTGCTCATCACATCGGCACACCCGGCTGGGGCCTGCGGGGCACACAGCTTGGAGCTTGCTTTGCCTACCAGGGTACTGGTGACATCATTTTGTACTGTGCCTATAGGGCTGTTGCTTCCAGCTCCATCCTACTCTGGAGTAGGAATATCTCATTTATTTACTTAAATGATATTAAATAGTGTGCAGGGTTTTTTTTAAGATTTATTTTTTTTTATGGTTTGAGAGAGAAAGAGAGTGAGTGGGGAGAGGGGCAGAGGGAGAGAATCTCTAGCAGACTGCATGCTGAGTGCGGAGCCCAAGAGGCAGGGCTCGATCTCACGACCCTGAGATCAAGACCTGAGCTGAAACCAAGAGTCGGACGCTCAACTGACTGAGCCACCCAGGCGCCCCAAGAGTCTGCAGGTTTTTTTGCCGCTAAAATTAATGCCGCAGCGATGTATGTGTATTATAGCGTGAGCATCTCTGTAGATACGTCATCGCTAAGTGAAAAGGCAGGTGCATTTTTAATTTAGGAGGACAGTGCTACATGGCTCCCCAAAGACATTTCACGATTTCCTATTCTCACAGAGTGATGAGAAGCCCACATGTGTGTTTTCCAGAGCCTTGCACCTGACTTTACTACTCCCATGGTGCTGTAGGAATGGTGATCACTT